AGTTGTCTTCTGATAACCTGCTGAAGAACTTTGACTGTGTACCCAGCGGAGTTTTTCAGGGGTGAGTGGAGTTTTTCGGTGGGATCAGGAGTGACTGCCTCCCAGATATTCCGTAGGTACTTTGGGGGAAGAGACTATCAGAAGCCCAGCTGATTGCCTTCCTCTCCTCCGCACCCCAAACTGACATCTTGGGCTGCAGAGAAAAGGCATGAAATGGGCTCTTTCTCATCTCCCTTCTGCAATGCAGAGATTAAAAACGTTACTTCTGTCCAGGGGTCATTTCGTAGAAAAAGAGGTGCAGGAGCTCATTAGCATAACCTATTAGCATAACTTATTTGCATAGGCCACACCCCCTGGTGTCACCGGAAGTGTGTCAGAAGGCAACACCCACCACTTAGGCTCCACTGGACTGTTTTGGATGGCTAGCTATTGTGTGTGGGGGGGGAACGTGCAGATCTGTCCTCGCAGAGGAGGGAGAGCTTGTACCTGAATAAAACTGGGTCTTAAAGGTGCCACTGGACTGTTTTGGACCGGGGGGTGGGGGGGCTCTGCAACTTACCTGGCTGCTTCTTGCTCTGACTGAGGGCTGCTGGGAGCAGGGGGTGGGGCTTGTTGCATGTGCCCACCCCCTGGGCTCTTTACTGCCGGAGCTCCGCTCCTGTGCGCTCCTGCAGGAAATGACCCCTGCTTCTGTCCCCATCCAGCTTGGAGGAGAGGGAAGCACTTCATTTTGCAACGTTAAAAGGGGGAGAGGGAATAAGAACTGGTGATCCCCAAAATTAGCTTGGAGAGGGCTTTTGACCAACCAGCACCTTTGTGTTTGGCAATGGTTCAGTGGACGCAATCAAAACATATCCCTGTTCAGCTCACAGTCTGATCATGAGCGTCATACAAGGCAAGTCCATCTGTCCATGGCACCCTAATTTCTGCCTACTGCCTCTTTCAGGGCAAAGGAAAGGCGTCATCGCAGTAGACCTCACAGCTGCTCCCCACCCCCAGCCAAACACTCTAGGCACAATTCCGGGCGAAGGAAGAGCCTGTCACGCAGCAGCACTTGGAGTTCCAGTAGGTCACCGTCAAAATCACGGTCTCGGTCCCGGGAGAAGAGATCTGCACGCAGCAGGACTCGGTCTGGCTCACAGAAAAAAAACACATGCACCAGGTGAGGCGTACACAATTCTTGGCTACAATGCTGAGGGCAATGCTTTCTTTTTGGAATGGGTAATGAACTTGGAAGGGCTTATTTGAATCACCGTGGACACCCTACTTTGATTCTGAGGCTTGTTCAGTTTGATGCATACCACTGAACCAGAGAATGGCACAGAAAATGTGTGCCGGGGGCCTTTTCTTCTAACGAATGACTGATTTTGCTCATTAAGTTTCTCATTAAGCAGATCATGAGAGGGAGGGTTGCATCAGTGCTCCGTTCTTGTGGCCCTTTCGCCCAGGGAAATGCTGATTGCCACTTTGGGGTCAGGAAACAATTTCTCTCCAGGCCAGTTTGGCTGGAGATCCTGGAGGTTTTTGTCATCTTCTGGGCGTGGAACGGCGGTCACTGAGGGTGCAGGGGGAAGTATTTGTGAATTTCCTGCATTGTGCAGGGGGTTGGACTAGATGGCCCTGGAGGTCCCTTCCAACTCTATGATTGTATGATTCCTGCTTTTCTGACGATCATAATTCAGCCTGTATTTGTGCTGTGCTAATCAGTTAACTAGGAGCTGCGGTGGCTCAAGTGGTTAAGACGCTGAACTGCAGGCTGTGGAAGGTCAGTAGTTCAGCAGTTCGAGACCCAGGGGTGCCGCATGACGGAGTGAGCTCCCGTCTCTAGTTCCAGCTCCTGCCAACCTAGCAGTTCAAAAGCAAGAAATTGCAAGTAAATAGGTACCACTTCGGTGGGAAGGTAACAGCGTTCCATGTGCCTTGGTGTTTAGTCATGCCAGCCACATGACCACGGAAACGTCTTTGGACAGCGCTGGCTCTTCGGCTTGGAAACGGAGATGAGCACCGCAACCCTAGAGTCGGATTCGACTGGCTTTCGAGCAAGGGAACCTTTACCTTTACCTTTTAATCAGTTAACTGAGAGGAAAGGTGGCTTGGTATATTCCCGTCTCCTCAGATCCCAAATACTTGGATGGGGGACCACCAAGGAAGGCTCGGCAGAGGAAGGCAAGGGCAAACCAGCTCTCCTTTTCACTTGCCTTGAAAGCCCCTTGCTGGGGCCACCATAAGTCGGCTGCAACTTGATAGCACTTGCATACGTGATCCGTTAACTGATAAATCGGTTTAATTGATGGATAATCAACTCAAACTTCATCGATCCATGAGTATCTTTTAAAAATAACACCCAGCTTTTAAAAATAACCCCCAGCCCCAAGAGCCAGTTTGGTGTAGTGGTTAAGTGTGAGGACTCTAATCTGGGAGAGCTTGGTTTGATTCCCCACTCCTCCACTTGCACCTGGCTGGATGACCTTGGGCAAGCCATACTTCTGGCACAGCTGTTCTCGAAAAAGAGCACTTTCTGTCAGAGCTCTCTCAGCCCCACCTGCCTCACAGAGTGTCTGTTGTGGGGAGGGGAAGGGAAAGGAGCTTGTAAGCCGCTCTTAGACTCCTTTGGGTAGTGAAAGGCGGGGGATAAATCCAATCTCTTCTTCTCTTCTCCATGTAGACCTTGTGTGTCTGTTCTCAAACTTAGACCATGGCAGTGTATTTTCCAGCTTAGGATCCCTGAGTCCTTTAACCTGGAAAATGGAGTTCAGCAAGCAGAAGGTTTTGTTCTGTTGACGTTCCAGGGCTGAACTGAGAAAAACCAGGCCCATTTTATGCATCATACCTGGCTAGTTTGGAATCTTCCTTTGCAGAGGGATCATAGCTGAATGGGAGAGCACCCACTTTGCTTGCAGAAGGTCTTTGATTCTCAATCCTCAGCATCTCCTATTAAAAAATCTCAGGTAGACGGGCTGTTGCCAGTCTGAAGAGACAAGACAGTGCTCGGTGGACCACTGGACACGATCAGGGCAAGGCAATTTCAAATATATGGGGAGAGATGATACCAGTGGTATTCATTTTGTGATTCACTAAGAGCCACGTTCACGGTTACCACTAACCAAAAGAGCCACATGAGTACAGTATGCCCTGTATGCCACCCCCAAACACACACATATAATTCTATGAAGTCTAACTATTAATTTTAAATAGAAACTAAATAACCTCTTTTTGGGGGTATTTTGTGTGTGTGTGTGTGTGTGTGTGCGCCTGGAAGTCATGATTGACTTCTGGCGACCGCTAGTGGGGCTTGGACATTTCAGAGAGGTGGCTTACTATTGCCTGCCTCTGCATCTGGGCCCTGGTATTCCTTGGAGGTCGCCCTTCCAAGTACTTGGCAGGGTCGGCCCTGCTTAGCTTCCGAGACCTGACAAGATTGGGCTTGCCTCTAAAAAAAGAAGAGATAATTGAAAAGATCCTTGAATTAGTGGAAATGGACAAACTAAATCTGATGTTAGCAGGGAGAGAGGATAATGTTTTTAGGAAAAGGTGGAATAAAGTAAATAAATGGATGGGGGGAAATGTATAATATATACTCCAACAAATAATATGTAAAAAGGGGAACTTTTTTTGTTTGTGCTGTTTTGTTTTTTGTAACGGAAAATCCATAAATAAATAATTTTTTAAAAAAAGATTGGGCTTGCCTGGGCTATCCAGGTCAGGGCTGTGAATAGCCTTTTCAATTACCAGATTCCTTCTGACAGTGTAGGTTTGTCTCTTCCCACAGCAGAGGCCATGGAGATGGGTGTGGAGTGGTTGTTGGAGAGGATGAGCCATTTGATTTCCATCCCTGGCATGCAGTCTCCATCACACAAGATTACCCATCCTCCAGACCCTGTGGTGGCAGCCGTTGCAGTGTGGGAACCACTTGCCCTACAGGGCAATGGCCTCACTCATGCTCCTGAAACATAAGACAGGTGCCACATTGAGGAGCAGTGCCCAGAAGAGCTACAAACGGCACGTCAAAGAGTTGCATGCGGCTCCCGAGCCGCTGCGTGATTATCCCTGCCTCAAAGTATGCCGAAGATCTGACGCCACATGTCGAAGGTTGACACGACAGATCTGACACTGCAGATCTGCAGAACTGAGGACCTTTCTCTGCTTCAGAGCCATTGCTGCCTAGAATAGACCGTGCTGATCTATATGGGCCACTGGTTAAGTGTAAAGCATATTCATGTGTACTGTCTGTTAGCTACTGGGGCTGACGTCTCAAACATGGCCACGTGAAGCTGCTTTATACTGAACCAGACTGTTGATCCACCAAGGTCAGTATTGTCTACTCGGGCCGGCAGCAGCTCTCCAAAGTCTCAGGTAGAGGTCTTTCACATCACCTATGATCTGATTTATGTTTTTTAACAAGAGATGCCGGGGGTTGAACCTGGGATCTTCGGCATGCCAAGCAAGTGTTCTACACCTGAGCCATGACCCCTTCCTTCACGCCCACCTATTCCCTCTTGTGCTTAAGAAGTACAAGGAGCAGAGGTCATTTTGGGGGGGGACGCGGGGGAACGCAGTTCCCCCAGGTGAGGTACGGGGGCGGGGCATATGACGAAGCCCCGCCCCTGCTTCCGGCTGCCCGGGCTTCCTTGCACTCCCGCCGGCCTTGCAGATCCACCGCCGGGCCCCTCATGGGGCTCGGCAGTGGAGCTGCAAGGCTGGCGGTGGCGGCCGGGACCGTTGGGGGCGGGGTGTGTGGCCTTGTGACACATTTCCGGTGATGTCAGGGGGTGTGGCCTTATGACACACTTCCGGTGATGTCAGGGGGTGTGGCATATGCTGATGAGTTATGCTAATGAGTTCCCCTAGCTCTTTTTCTACGAAACGACCCCTGACAAGGAGGCAGATGATCCTATGTTCCTCCCAAGGCAAAAGACCCAGAAGCAGACCCTCATGTTCTCGGTTCAAGATCCAGAGTCTCCGGTACATCTGTCTAAAAGACGGCTTTGTTTCCCATCTAGAGAGAAAGACAACGAGCTGCGAACCCGGCACAGCGACACTGAACCGAACCGTGCCCGGCGCCGCTCCCGAAGCTATTCCCCCATCCGAAAGAGAAGGCGTGACTCTCCCAGCTTTATGGAGCCCAGAAGGATCACCAGGTAAACATTAGAACCAAGGCCAGGTAATTCAGGATGCCCCCCCCAAAAAAACCCGGGAGAAAATTCGGATGAAGAGAATTTCGGGCACGTCCCTTTCATTAATGCTGCAAACCTTTCCTTTTCCATCCATTCTCAAGGTCCTTCCTGGAGAAACATCAAGCGGAGCCCATAGCTGCCAGGGCCGGGTTACCATGGTAACCTTCCCTCCCATCAGGACCCCGCTGTGTCTCCTTGAATCCGCCACTCTGTGAGGCTTTGTGGAGCTATATTCTGTCTGTCTCTCTGTCTCTGTCAGTCTCACTAACTAATGGCTCTGTGGCGATATGGGTCAGAGAAGGAGGCGAGGGTGACTGTGGAGGGGGCTGTACCAAGATTCTGGCTGGCGGCACTGGCTGGTAGGGAGACTCCGGTAAAGAGATCTGGGGTTGGGCACCGAACCACGGGTGGCCTGATGCTGGCCAAGGAGTCCCTTCCTCCCCTCTTCCAAATCTCCATCACCCACCATTCCGGTTTTTCATAAATCTCCAGATCACGGGAATGTAGTTTTAACCAAACGCAGACCTGGGAGACAAGGCCAGCAGTATCCATGCAGGGCATACTCCCACAGGTCTCTCCGGTAGACTCTGACACACCTTCTGGGGAAAGCGAGAGGAGAGTAAGGGGTGTAGCTACAGCGGGGCCTCTCGAGGCCTGGCCTCCCCTGACTCCCCATCCAGCCCAGGCCCCCTGATGCCTGGGTGGTTGCAGGGGAGGGCAGGAGCAGGGCTGCTCACTTAGGGGGTGTGACTTATTTTAAGGCCCCCTGAATAAAAAGAATCCTGGCTGTGGGCCTGGGGGTACATGCAATCTGAAGACAATGACTTCCTTCTAAATCCATCGTAAGGGGCTGCGGTGGCTCAAGTGGTTAAGACGCTGAACCACAGACCGGAAGGTCGGTACTTCAGCCGTTCGAGACCCGAGGGCCGCATGACGGTGTGAGCTCCCATCTCTGGCCCCAGCTCCTGCCCAACCTAGCAGTTCGAAAGCAGGAAATTCCAAGTAGATAAATAGGTACCACTTCGGTGTGAAGGTAACAGCATTCTGTGCGCCTCAGCATCTAGTCATGCCGGCCACATGATCACGGAAACGTCTTCGGACAGCGCTGGCTCTTCGGCTTGGAAACGGAGATGAGCACCGCATCCCTAGAGTCGGATTCGACTGGCTTTCGAGCGAGGGAAACCTTTCCCTAAATCCATCGAAGTCAGTGGGTGTGAAGTGGTGGACTGTGCTGTCTAATTGCAGCAGACTGACGTCAGCCCTGTAGGGTTTTTGAAAGCGAGAGACAGGCAGGAGTGGTTTGCTATCGCCTGCCTTTGCACAGCAATCCCGGACTTCCTTCCTGGTCTTCCATCCAAGGAACTAACCGGGGCCAGCCCTGCTGCGGCCTGACAAGATCAGGTTAGCCTGGCCCATCGGAGCCATCTGTTTCAGAAGGGTGTAAATTGACTTAAGATGGTGCTGCCAGCCCACCCAATCCCTTGTCTGCCAAGAAAGCAGCAGGATTGGGGGAGGGGTTGTTTTTTTTTGGTTGGGGGCTGCTTTGAGGGCGGATCTTGCTCTCTGACTAACCCCTCATTTCTGTTTTCCTGCAGCTGCAGTTCTCCAGTGTCTCAAGCAAAAACACAACTGCTATTAACCCTTTCACTCTCTGTTGTTTTAGCTGGCTAATCCAGGACTAACGGCTTGAGGGGTGGCAGCTTTGGCACCGAGGAGGGGGGGAGGCCGGTGCGGCTTGTGAGGGGGTCCACTCGGGCTGAGCAGAAGGGACCCGGCTGGCACGTGGCGCCCTTTCACGTTTCACGAGTTTTTCAGTTTGGATCATATTCTCACCTGCTCTAGTAAAGCGCCAACCGGTTTGAACTGAATAATTGAGATTCAACCTGGCAAGTAAAAAGACGGGACTTGGAATGTGCGGGAAGGCTCTGAGATTTATCACCTAAACGTGACATCTCCGTTGAAGACTAGTTAAGGTTTGACAGCCCGCCTTCCCAAAATGTGAGTTTTCAGACTTGCTGATTCGGACGTTTTGTTATAGGTGAGGATTTTGTTCCCCCCACCTGAATATCAAGTGGTATAGAATTTGCAAAAGAGAAATCGATGAAGTGAAAGGATATGAGTGGCATGCAGCTGACTCAATGTTTGTCAGCTACGGTAGTATTCAGAGTGCAGAATCTTTCGTTTTCTCTTGGCCTGGTGAAACAGACCCAGCCTTGAGAGTAACGGCGTTCCTTTGATCCACGCTCCTTATTCAAGGTACACATTTAGGTCCAGATGAAGATCTTAACCTTGCCCACTATCTCTTGCCCATTTGGTTTTATTATACAGAGAGAGAGAGAGACCTTTTGCCACCTGCTGGCTCATTTCCACCCTCAGTGCCAAAGCCGAAGCCCCCATATCTAAATCCAGTGCAAATCCCACCGCTACCACCGGGTGCTAACTGAGCTTCTCTTTCTGCCTGCAGTGCCCGCAAGCGTCCGATCCCCTACTACCGGCCTAGCCCATCATCCTCCAGCTCGCTGAGCAGCTATTCCTACAGCCGCAGCCGCAGCTATGACAGCTACAGCCACAGCCGCAGCCGGACGCGCAGCCACAGTCGCAGCCCGAGCTACAACAGCTGCAGCAGCTCCGAGAGCACTGGCTTTTGAGCCCCAACACCTGGGTTGCTGGAGAACCTGGGCGTCGCCCTCTCCCCAACCCAGTCTCTTCCCCAGGCATGCCCTACTAAAATCCAGGGTTCCTCGGCCCATCCAACACCAGTCTCTTTGTCCCTTCTCCGTCTCATCCAGAGCCTTCTCATTGTGTCTCTGGAGGGGCTGGATGTCTCCCACCAGCGAGGGCGGGGGGGGGGGGGGGGGGGTAGCTGGTCCAACCTTGGGAATCAGGAAATCCACATGAAGGGCCCAACAGGGAAGAAACTGCTGAGTCGCCCATGAAAAGAACGCGGCGTCATAAGAGAGGCAAAAACTCTGCTTGTAAGCGCACGTTCTTGGCAAATGTTAGTGAAGGATCATCTCAAGATGTTCCCAATAAGGACATGGGGATCTAGCTGATAAAGGTGGGGAGAGGCACGACGTCCGCCCCTAATTTCTACTGGCAAAAAAGTTTGGGAGGGATTCTGGGGTGGAAACAAATGTATGGGGGGATGAGACACACAGAGCAAATGAACAAACGTAGACTCTTATCACAGAACTTTGGACTCCAGGAAAGAAAAGATGATCCTCTGGTTTCCCCATCCCCCCTTTCCTGAACAAACAGCTCACCGAAGATACTTCCTTGGGCTTTCATTATTATTTATTTATTTGATTATTTATTTATTTCACTCCAGCTCTACCTGGGGAAACCCGCATTTAATTTATTTTGAAGCTGGAAGGGAGCCGGGTGTGGGTGTGTGTGTGTAAATTTTCACGGGGGAAAAGTCGTGCAACTAAGTTGCTAGGCCGAGGTTGGGGGTATATAGAGTATGAAGGGTAGATGGAAACGAGGGAGGGAAGGAAGGAAGGAAGACGATTGCTGGGAAAATGCAGACGCCGTCCCGAGCAGAGGCCATCTCTCCGTGTACCTGGAAAGGACCACAGCTCAATGCTGAAGCACATGATTTGCACATTGATGCGAACAGGGGCTTCCAGAGCCACTTATCCAATCTCACGCACTTTTCGGTGGGTGCAGATACTGGAAGATACTGGAAGTAAAGAGCCCATTTTGGAAGTTAAGCAGCCTGGCAACTTTGAGACAGCTCTTATTATCCACCTCAGTCGACACATCCCTTCTGTGCCCTGGTCTCGAACGGAGGGTCATCATCTCCACTCTGAGGGGGCTTCTGGAGCCACCAGCCCCAACTGTGGACTGCCCTGCCTTGCTATAGTATGGGAGAGTGCATCTGTTCCCCTTGCATCTAAGGTCAACCACCAGGGCCAGTGAAAAGGCCACTGGGCGTGCAGAGTAGCCATCCCAAAGAGCGTCTGGGGTGCAGTTCACGCGGTGTTGACTTTTCCACCAGCAGGATGGTGCCAGTAACAGCAGAGCTGGGCTGTGGCTGTGGTTGTGGCACGCCTGCTGTGTTCATCAGAGAGAAAGAGAGAGAGAGAGATAATGGGTTAGTAACCTGAGGTCGCTTTTGCAAGCCCGAGAACTTGCCGGCTATCCATCTCAAGTGGTCCAAATGAGCGGCAAGCCACCAATGTCTGATGCAAGGGTGCTGATAATGAAAACACCCACCATGAGGACGAGTGCCCCGGCCTAGCGTATAGCAGAAGCAGGTTTTGCAGAGCAAGGATGCCTGGAGAGTGGGAAGGCAAGACAGTCAAACATCGTTCGCCAAGGAACACGGTCAGAATAAACTGTGGCTTCCAGGGCATCTTTGGAAGTGGACCTCCGTCGACAGGTCCACCCACGATCCATGAAGGTGAGATGGAAAAGACAGTTTTTCAAGCTCTGCTTCCAAACATCGCCCCCCCAAGGATCTTGGATTCATCCCAAGCAATGCTTAAGACTTTGGGGAGGGAGTGGAAGAGCTGGAAAGCGTTGAGCCGATAGCAGCTGCATTTGCTAGTCTCTGTTTGGATTTGGGTGCTTGAAAACATTCTCCAGGGCTGCATCAGCATATTGCTGGAGACGGAATCATTGCCGTGCTATAGGCGTCGTTGCCGACGGGATTGTCCTGTGCGGACAAGCAAATCCAGTTATGAATGCTTGCTATAGTGCAACGGAGGCATAATGTCCGGTGATGAGCGGATGCAGCCCAGATTTAAGCAACATTCTAATTCTTTGTTGGGGAGGGCAATGTCCGATGCTCACTGACAATGTAAACATTTTGGTACCAGACCTGGAGGAGGGATCTTTTTAAAACCTGTTTTGAATTTTGGACATTCAGAATGTAAGGCAAAAAAAAATATCCATTTGGGACATTTGGAGGGCTTTTCTTTTCTTCTCCTTTCCCTTCTCCTCCTGAAGCAGAGGTTCAAAATGACCCCACGTCTCCTTCTCTTGGTTTTGAGTCAAAATGACACACGGAGAGAGTCTGGTGGAGTCAGGGCTCAAAACCAAGCTGAGGCTGGCTAGGCCAAAACTGAGGCAGGAAAACCTTCCTTGGTGCCCCGCTCTTTACATTTCTGCTGATAGCCTACGATCAAAACGAGGGCCAATTCCAGATTTGACAGCCCAAGGAAAGATGCCTTCCAGTGTCACCACGAGTGAGCAATCTCCTTATGCACCCCTTCAAGGAAAGGGGTGGGGCAGAGCTTTTCTACTCTCTTCTAAGCCTCATCAGGGTCTCTAGGGATCCACGGGGAGCTAACAGGGCATGACGAGGTGTGAAAGTGTCACTTTCCATGCCTTCTAGAGGGAGAAGAAGAAGAGATTGGATTTATACCCCGCCCTTCACTACCCAAAGGAGTCTCAGAGCGGCTTACAATCTCCTTTCCCTTCCCCTCCCCACAACAGACACCCTGTGAGGTAGGCGGGGCCGAGAGAGCTCTTTCGAGGACTGCCCTTGAGAGAACAACTCTGAAATAACTTTTAACTGGCCCAAGGTCACACCAGCAGCTGCATGTGGAGGATCTAGGAATCAAACCCAGTTCTCCCAGATTAGAGTCCACGCTCCTAACCACTACACAAAACTGTCTCTCTGCTAGATGCCATTCCCAGCAACAAATGGAGAAGTTGCCCTGGTGACATCTCAGGGGCCTGTGGAGCACATCCCCTGTTCCAGGTGGGCCTGGATGGGCAAAACGCCTCTAATCAGCTGTGCATCTTCCGCCACACCAAGCCCTGTGGCAGATGCTCCGCCATACCGACCCTTGGCAATGGCCCTCATTCAAATCAATTTGTTCCAATTCATTCAAACCCCATTGTGGCACTGATCTGCTTCCCAGTAGCTGCTCGGCAACAAACTCACCGCAGGGCTTCTGTCTTCAAGGAAAGACCCTCCAAAGCACTAGTTTGCAAGGTAGGGTTTCCTTGGTCCCTGCAGAGGCCCCCGTGCCCCCTTTCTTAAAGATTCAGCCCCTTCCCCAAAGCAGTGACAGACAGAGAAAGACGATGCATCAGGGAAAAATGTCTAGTCTTCCTAGCATCCTTTCGTAGTCTCCGCAAGAGCTTGCAACCTGGAACAAATATTGTGTAGAGGAATCTTTCCAGTAATTCTCATCCTCTCTTTCTCTCTCTCTCTTTCTCTCTCTCTCTCTCTCTGGATTGTGAGTAAAACTGTAGATTCAGTGAGCTGGTTCAATTATAATAAAATATACATTATATATTGTAACAAACTCTCCTACTTCCCCTCTATGGCGTACGGTTTCTGCTTTTCAGAACATTATACCTCCAAAGGTTCAGTGGTCCAGAAACAATTTGGTATACCTAGTGTTCAGACCTTTGACCAATTTTTCCAAAAACCTGACCATCACAACAGGCGTTTGGGGTTGTTTTTTTTTATGAGGCATGTTTAAGAACTTAACATAAGAGAAGTCAATGTTGGATCAGGCCAATGGCCCATCTAGTCCAACTCTCTGTCACACAGTGGCCAAACAATACCAGGTGCCATCAGGAGGTCCAGCACTGGAGCCAGGACACTAGAAGCCTTCCCACTGTTGCCCCCCCCCCAAGCACCAAGAATACAGTGTTTACACTCAGAAAGGTTCATTTCTTGAATGTTGATGAATAAGGGGAGTAGAAATTATTCTACTTCACAGGAACCCACCCTCTGCATTTCTGTATGAGCCTCTGATCTGCACATGGCTCTTGAGTAAAAGACGGCGGGCTCAGAGCTATAAAACATGCAGAGACGCAACTGATTGCCCTCTGAAGAATGAATCCTCATAATTTCTCTCTCTCTCCATTCGGGGAGCTTCTGATTCAGAGGCACAGCAGAATTACACCTTTCTCCATGTCAGAGTCTGATTGGAAGCGACTCATAAAGAGATACATAGAACAAATACTTTTGCATCAGGTTCGACTGAATGGTGTAAATTGCTCAGGATGAGTTGACGCAGTGGAGTTCCTCAGTGAAAGGTGATTTAGATCATGGCCAGAGCCACAAGGCTTTCCACAACAGTTTCCTCATGGCAAAGACCTAATGGTTTATTTATTGCATTTATTTTACTGAATTTATACCCCGCCTTTCTGCCCTCACAAGGACCACCAAGGCAGCTACCAAGTTGAAACATACATAATAAAACCACATCTTAAAATCCAGCACCAGCAACAACACATCATTAAAACAATTAAAACCAGATCTAAAATACACAAAGAGACATAAAAACAACAAAATATTGGGCAGGAAGGAGGGATCACTGAGGGAACGCCATCTGGTGGTGGAAGATGGCAAGAGAAAGGGACAGACAAGACTCGCTGGTGAGAAAATTCCAGGGATTTGGTTTCCTGTATGTTCCCTCCAGCAGGGCAAATATCAGGTACAAGGGGAATCAGGACTCTTTTTGTAGAAAAAGCCCAGCAGGAACTCATTAGCATAATAGGCCACACCCAACAGCAGGAACTCATTAGCATATTAGGCCACACCCCTGCCAGCACAGCTCATTAGCACATTAGGCTGCACCCCCATGTTACCAGAAGTGTGGTTATCCAGCCATACCCACCTTTTGCTTGTTATTCTGTTTACCTTGTTTGTTGTCAAAACCCAGGGCTTTTTTTGTAG